CTCTCCTCATAGGGCAGATGTTCCAGGCCCCTGATCATCCTTGTGGCCCTGCGCTGGACTCTCTCCAGCGGCTCCACATGTACTGGGGGCCCCAGAACTGGACACAATACTCCAGATGTGGCCTCACCAGGCTGAGCAGAGGGGGACGATCACCTGCCTCGACCTGCTGGAGATGCTCTTCTTAACGCACCCCAGGATCCCATTGGCCTTCTTGGCCACGAGGGCACACTGTTACTTCATGGTCACCTTGTCCACCATGACGCCCAGGTCCTTCTCTGCAGAGCTGCCCTCCAGAAGGTCAGTCCCCAGCCTGTACTGGTGTCTGGGTTATTCCTCCCCAGGTGCAGGACCTTGCACTTGGCCTTGTTGAATTCCATGAGGTTTTTCACCCCCCAGTTGTCCAGTCTGCCCAGGTGCCTCTGGATGGCAGTGCAGCCCTCTGGAGTATCAGCTGCTCCTTCCAGTTTGGTACCATCAGCAAACTTGCTGAGGGAGCACTCCGTGCCTTCATACAAGCCCCCTCGCCTGACTTCTTGCTCATAGGGATACACCAGTCTCGAGTGTGGAGAAAGTGCTGCTTGAATCCTAATCAGCTCTCTTGCGCTCCCCTTCCTTCTAGGGCCCAAGCCTATGGGATTCTTCCAAGGAGGTTTCTGAAGAGGCCAAAGTTGGCCCTCCTGAGGTCCATGGTTACAAAGCTACTTACAGCCCTGCTTCCTCCTCGTTGGACCTGAACTCAACCAGCCCATGGTCACTACCGCCAAGGCTAACCCCACCTTCACATCTCCAGCAAGTCCCTCTCTATCTGTTAGTACAAGGTCCAGTAGCCACCTCTCCTCGTTGGCTCCTCCACAACCTGTGTCAAAAAGTTATCATCCACGATTACAGAAGGGTTGAGGTTGGAAGGGGCCTCCAGAGATCATCTAGTCCAACCCACTGCTCCAGCAGGGACACCCAGAGCACACAGCACAGGGCAGCACCCAAGGGGCTTTTGAAGATTTCCAGAGAAGGAGACTCCACAGCCTCTCTGGGCAGCCTGTGCCAAGGCTCTGGCACCCTCACAGGAAAGATGTTCTTCCTCATACAGAGGTGAAACTGCCTGGGTTTCAACTTACACCCGTTACCCCTTGTCTTGTTACCGGCCACCACGGAGAAGAGCCTGGCCCCATCCTCCCTACAGTCACCCCTCAGGTACTCGAACATGTTGATCAAATCTCCTCTCAGCCTTCTTTTCTCCAGACTAAATGGGCTCAGCTCGCTCAGTCTTTCCTCGTATGGTAAATGCTCCAGTCCCTTCATCATCTTCGTGGCTCTCCTCTAGACCCTCTCTGAAACCTCCAGGACTGTTTGTGCCTGGCTCTATTGTCTTTCCAGTTGATGTCAGGGTGGTTTAAGTTCCCCTGAGAACCAAGGCCTGTGACCATAAGGCTACTCCCAGCTGTCTGGAGAGGCCTCATCAACCTCCTCATCCTGATCAGGTGGGCTGTAGCAAACACCCTCCACAGTGTCTTCCACATTAGCCTGCCCTCTAATCCTTACCCATGAGCTCTCAACTTGCTCACCCAGGCTGAGCTCCATGCATTCCAGTTGCTCTCTCACATAAAGAGCTACTCCACCACCTCGCCTTCCCAGCCTGTCCTTCCTAAAGAGCACACAGACTTCCATGGCAGCGCTCCAGTCACGGGGGCTGTCCCACTGTGTCTCTGTAATTGCGATGGGATCACGACCCTGGGAGCGCACACAGATCTCCAGCCCCTCCTGGTTATTCCCCATGCAGTGGCATACCGGCATTTCAGGGAAGTAATCACGCCCGCAGGTTTCCCAGGAGGGGTGAAAGAGGACCCTATAATCATCTCCTATCCTCACTTCCCCGCTACCATACTCCTGTTGGACACTTTCTGGCTTTGGCTGCATGCCACTGATTGCCCTGGCCATGTAACATTCCCCGTCCCCCTTCTTGCTTAGTTTAAAGCCCTCCTAACCAGGCTGACCAACCTGCTGGCAGACATACGTGCCCCTCTTGCTGAGGTGGCTCTCATCATTCCCCACTAGCTGGTGATCCTCAGAGTCCCATGGTCACAGAAACCAAAACGCTGTTGCCCAGACCGGCAGTGCAGCCAGTTTTTAACCTGCAATATCCACCTTTTCCTCCTCATACCCATTCCCCTCGTTGGCAGGAAAGAGGAGAACATAGCCTGGGCTCCCAGACGTTGACTGCCATCCCCAAGGCTCTGAAATCTCGCTTGATGTTACTCAGTTTCCCCGTGGTGTCATTAGTGCCCACATGAAACAGTAACGGGGTAATAGTCAGGTGCCTGGACAAGCCGTGGCAGCGTCTCCGTGACGTCCCTTACTCGAGGCCTGACAGGCAACAGACCCCTCTGGACAAGGGGTCGGGTCTGCAGATTGGTGCTTCCGTGCCCTGCGGCAGGGAGTCTCCCACAACACTGATCCATCAAAACACAGACCCACCATGACCACTCTGCCTGGCCTGACGGACCAGCTCACCACGAGGCCTGCTCGCGGATCCTCTCCCGGACCAGCACGCCTCCCACCGCTCGCTGCTTCCCTGCTCTTCCACTCACATATTTTGTTTAGGCCTCTCATCCTCAAAGCACAAGAAAACTGGATATGAATCTGTTCTTTGAAAACATTTTTCTTACTCTGATAACTTAAAGAGCAAAGGCTGAAACACTAAGGGGCTTTTACCACTCAGGAACATTCACTCTTTTCTATCTTTCCAAGCTTCCAAGAGCCAGAAGTGAATCTACATCTTTATACATACACCTGGATGGGCTTGGAAGAAATTGGGTGTGAAATGAGATGTCAAATGTATGAGCTTGCAAACCATTAAGATGACTCAGGCTGTTAAATCCAAATCAAATTTCTACAGATGCTGGGGACATTCCAGCTAGGCTTCAAACCTGGCAGCCTGGTCTCCACAAAGGCCCGAACCCAAAACTCATGCGCGAAGAGCAGTGCATCCTTGCCTGATCCCAGGGATTTCAACAGCAAGACACCAATATGTCCCCAAAGTCCAGACATCGGCTTAAACAGCTGTAAGTTTGTTAGGTTTTTTTTGTCCGTTTTTTTTTAAAAAAACTTTTAATCTTCTTTTGTTTGAGCTTCACATTTGCTTCACACCTCGTCATGCTGTGCAGTTGGACCAAATGCATTATGAAGACTCTGAAGTCCAACCCCAGCAATAAAGTTCTTATATGAACATCAGTGAATCGTAATGGGTTTCAAGACATGGCAGGAGTAAGCACAGCCCCAATCTCTATAATTACACAATGTCCACAGAACTATGGGGTCTGTATTCAGAATCATCTCAATGATTTGTCAGCAGCTTATCCTGTGGCTCTATAATCTTACAGAAGTATCCCTTAGCAAGGAAAGAAGTGGTAGGAAATGTGTGAAGGGAGATAGTGCATAGTGTGGGGTGTCACCCCCTTTCCTGTTTTTCACCTACATCCTCTCCACATACTAAATTATCACATATTCCATTTTTTTTATACAGGTGGAAACAAGCAAACCATTAGTGCCTTACCCTGATAAGACGCCCAGCACCAAGTTGAGCATGAAGAAAGAGCCAATGATGATGAGAGGGATGAAGTAAAGCCAGTTCCATGTATTTCCTGCAGCATCATTTGTCTGAAAATAGAAAGAGAAGGGGAGAGAGGAAAGCAAATATGAACCAACTTCAAAGGCAAAACACAATACAGAATATGCAGGGCAGAGGCCACAGGAGATTCCTCTCAGATTTCCATAGGGCTGTTCACCACTGATGCTCTACTTTGCTATGGGCACCAGCAGAAGACCTGAGGAAGCAAGCTGAGCATCCAACTGTCTGCACCACAGCTCACCAGCGGCTCCAGAACGTCTCCTCTCTAATACTACAGATCCAGACCAGCCCTGCTGGGGGGCCAAAACCCCATTTTAAATGACTACCTCCATGCAGAAGCACAGCTTCTGCCCCGGCCTCCTCCCTCCCCACCTCAAGTCTGAGCTGGCATGTGCCAAGCAGCAGGGTTGTATTTACATCTGAATTGAGACACAACAAGGGAGGCAGCCACAAGCTTCCGCTAATCTGTGCTGCAATTAAGGCAGTGCATGGCACCCTGCCCAAAATCTGTGTGCACACAGGGAACAGAAGATGAGAAGTCTGCAAGAAAAGGAGGCATCTTTAGAGCAACTGCAATTTCACATCTGCTTACTCAGCACTTCGGGGCTGTGTCATCAAAACCCATCTCAGGCTGAGTAAGCAACAGTGGAGATTAAGGGGAGGGGAGGGGAGGCTGCTTTAGTTTATGACAAAGTTTCTGCATTCATCAACCACAAGAGAGCTCTTTAAGGAAGTGCTGAAAAGTAAAACGCCACATGGCCATTACCGAAGCCACCTAGAAAAATGCAAATTCTTCGCTTTGGAGCGAGGAATGCAGCAAGCTCAGAAGGGGCTGGTGTGGGACATGAGAGGCAAAGAGCAAAATAAAATGAGAGAGCCAAAGGCCTCTCATTGCCCCTCCTCCTCCTCCAGGCTTGGAGGACAACCCGCTTCCTCCATCATGAGCTGAGCACTGCAGAGAGCAGCAGGGACTGCAGAGAAGCACTCACAAACACCAACTCCAACAAAATACATTAATTCTAATTGATATTGGTGCCTCCTATTTATTATTCGGGGTGCTTTGTAGTCAGTATTCCAAATCATACTTGGAAGTGAGACTCACATTGCAGAAGAACATTCACATGGAAAGAACCTAAAATGCAGCCACGAATATCCCAACCACGTGTGCTCCTTATGCCACCCGGAAACGTCCCTGCACATGTAGATGTCACCAAGAAAATACACAGAGACAACACGCAGAGAGAGTGACTGCAGTCAGAGTATTTTTTACAGGTGATAGCACTTATCGTACTGATGGAAATACAAAGCTTTTCTGAGATACTTTAATACGGTGCCTGTCTGCCTATATCCTTCCTCCAGGAGCAGACTCTGGTGCTCAAATGCATGACAAACATTTCTCCAAACAGCTAACATATTCAGCAGCTTCTGTGTCAGTTGATCAGTGAGTCACCCAAGACAAGAACTAACTAACCCAGCCACAAACCAACACTGCTAAAGGCAAAACCAGTGTGAGATGAGCAAAAGAATTTGAAGAGAAAACAGGTTGGGAAAACAAGAATGCAGAAAAACGGAGAAAACAGTCCAGTTCCTTCTCTCAGCACTGAATTTTTACTGTCTTTTCCAAAACCTGTTTTTGCACCACAGCAGCATTCAATTCCTGCCTTCAACGTTTCATTTATCTGCTCCTGTTTCAGCTTTTCTACATTTCTTCTGCCTGTTCTCCTATTCCCCTTGCACAGGGCGCTAAGGACCCTTATCCTCAGCGTCACTTCCCCAACACACACAGAAAAAGGGCCTAGTGTAGTCCCAGCCTGCTTGCTTGGGATTAACCTGCAAAACTAGCATTACATATACATATAGATACACACACGCACATATATATACACATACATATATATACACACATACATATATATATATATTTAGAGGCTGATATTTAATTCTCGTTGCACTGACCAAGACAGAAGCCTTCATGCAAGGCTGGGAGCTGCCCTCAATCTGGCGAGGGGCACTCCAAAATACGGAGGAAGAGCCAAAGTAAGGAACAGATGGGAGAGGGGAAGCTGCATAAACATGCGAGTGCAGGAGGTTCAATACAGCCAAATGATCGTTTATCATTTATTTATTCGTTTGAAGCCCAAACTTGGCGACAGATCCTCGATTCCATGCCATGATCAAAGCCTTTAAAATGAAATGTGCTGAAATACGACTAATTAAGCACCCTCCCCTGAGCCCTGCTATGCTGCCTTCTGCTCAGGGCAGGGCCAGGCCTCGCTCTGTCTGTTCTGTCGCCCACACAGGTGTCCAGGACAAGCTGGAGGACAAAGCAGCAGGCAACAGGGCCAGCAGAAAACTTCGGAGAACGCAGAACTTCCACAGACCTGGACCTGCTCTCCAGGGCTCCCAGACCTGAAGCTGAGGACAACTTAGGGCCCCAGTTCCACCCTGGTGAGGTGTTTTAACGCCCCAAAGCTGCGAGCTGCCGAGACACCAACTTCGTCCCCTCAGGAAGGGCCCCGAGGGCTGAGCTGGGCAGCTCCTCACGAGCAGGGCAGCTGGACCTCCGGCTGCAGCCCAGCTTGGTCATTAAGGCAACAGAACAGAACAATGTTGTGCTCTAGCTAAGATAACGCATTGGTTTAATGTCCAGCTCACCATCAGGGCTCCTTAATCCTGACCACAGGTCTAACTCAATAGGGAAGAATTAGAAAAAATGCTTGTAACGGTGGGGTGGAATTATATCAAGACACACACGGGCTCTCTTACTGCTTAGGAAAAGCTGATGAAATCCCAGTAGGAGCAGGGCTCTGCTGGAGCCTTGGTCAAGAAGTGCCCCAGGCAGCGAGGCTGGGAGCTCACATCAGCTAAGATTGCCAGCATACTACACCCAGGGAAGCAGTGCTGGGATGCAGGAACCGGGCACGGAGAGCCCAAGAGACACCTTGCAGGTCACAGGGGAAGCAGAAAGCAAGGGAACGACCTCAGGCTTCGAAAACCCCTGTCAGCAAGTCCAGCCCTGGGGCGGTCCTGCCAACAGGACATGCTGCGTGGCCTCCCCTGCAGCATCCTGCTGTTATCTCCAAGCTACTCCCATCCTCTGTCCTGGTGCACTTAACTGAGATGCACCCACAATACCTAGCCAAATGTGTTGCCTTTTCTTTGTTGTTTTTTCTTTTTCTGCCACAACACACAACCCAGCCCACAACAGCACCTCTGTGAGACTCTGCTTGCTTGTTCACCTTGACACCTCTGCAGGGCCAGAGTGCCTGGGTCACCAAGGAAAACTGGAGATGACCATGAGGCAACCTTTACATACTAGTTCTCTGCACAGCTGCTTTTGAGTCCCCTTCTCCCTTTCCTGAAGCATCTAGCACAATTAGAGCATCCTCACGCAGTGTCACCAGCACCGTGGCCCTGCAGAAACAGCTAGGTGAAGACTGTCATCTATAACACATGCAGAGGCTAAAAATCTGCTGTCTTGCAGGGAGATTAATAATCCGAGCTGCCATAAAACCAAAGACAAGCGAGTGCACTCGAATAGGCACAAGATATTTTCCGCAATCAAGCCTTGGGGGACTTGGCCAGTACCACAGACAAGGCTGATGGGACCCCTCAGACTTTCCTGTGCCTCACACCCAGAGAGCTGCTAGGCCCTTGCTCATTATGTTAACAGGACAGCAGCTCTTCTAATTAATTCATTTAAATATATATTTTGAAATGATTAGCCTGAAAGCCATATACTCCCATTTGCAATGGGCTTCAGAGACCAAAAATGCTTTTATACTATGTTTTACGTTCCTTTCTGGAGCCCTAATCCTGGCAGACACGGCCTATGCTTCTCGGAGCACACAGAGACGCACAACCCCTGTGCCCAGAGCTTGTCACGTCCCTAGGGCATCTCAGTGCTGCAAGAGCGGAACGCAGGCTGCTCCAGCCTGCCGCACCCGGGGCGCTCTGCCCAACCGGTGAGGGGGAGCACTCGCTCGCTCGGCGGGAAGGCAGCGCACAGGGCCCGGCAGTGCAGCCACCGAGGGAGACACGGCGGCCTCCACAGAAGATCCACCAGCCCCCAGCAAGGGGAGTCCCCGCAGCACCTCCTCAGCTTGCCCAACCGCGGCCTGCAGCAGTAACGCCCAATGTGCACAGGGTGACTTTGGTTTACACACAGCAAATATCTGCCTCTGTTCAATGGGGTGACAAATCCAAGGTCTGCAGAGATATAGAGGCTGCAAATTAGAGCAAGTAAAGCAAAGAGCAATCCCTGCAATCCTCCCTTCCCTTTCCATGGAGCAGACAGCACCCCTGGCCACACATTCACTCCTCCTGTCTTCTGCAACAGGACCTAAATCTACATTTTGTATGGCAAGAGATATGGGGCATTCCCAAATACCGGAGTTCCACTTCCCAGCAGCCCATGAACTGAACACTAAGGCCATGCCCCAAAGGTACCTTAGACCTGAAGGGTCTCTGATCTGGAGCTAATGGTTCTTCCCAGCGAACGGCAACAGAAGATCTGCCACTATGTTGTGCTGCTCACAACACCATTCAGTGTATACCAAAGGCCGAGTGAGACAGGCAGGGATAATGCTTAAATAATCTATTCAAATAACCTATTAAAGAGTTTAACCTGATTAAATCCTCTTAGGCAAGGTAAAAGCAGCAGAACAACACAGACCTTCCCCACAGGAATGTGCTGGGTGGTATAAGCAGAGCCTCCTGTTCAAGGACGGTCACACGGCAGTGAATGTGAGCACTAAAGAAAGACTGAAGTCTTGTATTTCAGCTGTTTTCCACATTTCTGGTCACAACACAGTCACTCTTCTGGCCTTCCTCCCCACATCCAGTCCATCTCACTGGTGGCAGGAGCAGAATGCTCAGAGCCCCAGAGAGCCCAGCCACATCCCCACACGAGGCTGCACCAGACCCTCACGTGAGCACGTTGACTTTGGTGTAAGCAGCTTACCGCATCGAGGCTGCAGTCGCTCCCCATTGCTATAAATTGCACAGCCTTTATGAGTGACTTGCCCTC